ATTAGGGATAAAATAAGAATAGGCCCGCTGAGTTGAAAACCTGAAAGGGCGGCTCAGGCAAAAAAGGGCGTCCCGGTGGATTGAAAACCCGAAAGGGCGATCCAGGAAAAAGTTAGGGGCAAAATTCCAAGGCAAAGTATCCATTATGCATGATCACTCGACCCTAGTGCATAATCAAGAGACATGATTGATCCGACCATTTTTCTACGAAGCAAGGTGTTGAAGACTTCCAAAGCCGTAGGGATTATAGCAGTGTCGAAACTCAAAGGAACTCTGTTTTTTTTGCCATTATGTTTTTCTTGCACTGTAATCACCTCATTAAGGGATTACATCTCTGTATACTCATCCATTCAAGGGACAAATCAATATAAAGAGAGATTTCTCAATTAAATTGTGCTCACTCTTTTACTTTATCTGATTATTTGCAAGTTAATTTTTATTTTGATAATTTGTGTTCGAAACTTCAGCTAAAGAATATGATAATAAAAAATAATAAAAATAAAATATGACTTTTGACAAGGTAGGGAGTTTGCTTTGATGTTCGAAGATATTGGGGAAAATAGATGGTCTCCAAGAAGAATGTCAACAGGTAGAAGCCTTGAATTAGTCGTCAGCTGCCCAGGCTTGTCATCATGAAAAGCCTTGCCTTTCTAAAGGGTTTATATGAGGTGGTTCCCCTCGGTGTCGAATTCAAAAACTAAGCTGGGGCAATCAGTTCCCGCGGTCGTCATGGAGTATCTAAATCCGGGATGTCGAATAGTCTAATCCTCTCACTATCCCCACAGAAAGCCCAAACTTTTGTTGGCAACTAAAAAAAAGCCACTCCAATTGGCACCTTCAATTCACCCTAAAAGTCCAGTATTCATTGGCAACCACTAAAAGTCCACCCTCGATGGCATCCTCATAAAACCAAAGTCCAAATCCATTTGACAACTACCAAATCCAGTCCCTGGTGATACCCCCGACAAGATTTTATCCCCAGCATGCCTGATCATTTGCATTATCATAAACACGACATACAATATCACATCATATCATAGTCATATCGAGCATTAGCATATCATTTGCATACGCATCTTACACTCCCTAGCAGTTGCATTTTTTAGTTGCATATTGGGCATCATAAAGCATTGCATTGCATAACAACATAGCAGGATCCAAGATCAGTTTGCAAACATCTTGGCCAGTCCTCCATTGAAGTTGGCAGTAGTGAATCTGAAAAGAGTTGTTACTCCGCGAGTTCAGGGAATTCTAATCTCCAGCAAGTCATTTTTTAACCATGCAGTTGATAATGATAGTCCCCGGCGACTGTTGCTCTTATGGCTCCCCAAGCAGAGGTTATCTTAAAAGGTTTCTTGAAGACCTTCCCCTACAGAGTTTGGACAACACTGTTCCTCTAATAGGAATTTTAGCTCAACTATTCCTCAGCAGTTTTATCGCTCGAGATACTGCTTTGGTATCATCGAAGAACCTTATGGGATAAGGGACTGCTTCGACCACCCGAAGAATCTCAAGTTTTGTTCGAGATACTCCTTTCGTATCATCGAAGAGCCTTATTGGATAAGGTGCTGCTTCGACCACCCGAAGAATCTCAAGTTTTATTCGAGATACTGCTTTCGTATCATCGAAGAACCTTATTGGATAAGGTGCTGCTTCGACCACCCGAAGAATCTCAAGTTTTGTTCGAGATACTGCTTTGGTATCATCGAAGAACCTTATTGGATAAGGTGCTGCTTCAACCACCCGAAGAATCTCAAGTTTTGTTCGAGATACTGCTTTGGTATCATCGAAGAACCTTATTGGATAAGGTGCTGCTTCGACCACCCGAAGAATCTCAAGTTTTGTTCGAGATACTGCTTTGGTATCATCGAAGAACCTTATTGGATAAGGTGCTGCTTCGACCACCCGAAGAATCCCAAGTTCTCAGAGATACTGCTTTGGTATCATCGAAGAACCTTATTGGATAAGGTACTGCTTCGACCACCCGAAGAATCTCAAGTTTTGTTCGAGATACTGCTTTGGTATCATTGAAGAACCTTATGGGATAAGGGACTGCTTCGACCACCCAAAGAATCTCAAGTTTTGTTCGAGATACTGCTTTGGTATCATCGAAGAGCCTTATTGGATAAGGTACTGCTTCGACCACCCGAAGAATCTCAAGTTTTGTTCGAGATACTGCTTTGGTATCATCGAAGAACCTTATTGGATAAGGTGCTGCTTCGATCACCCGAAGAATCTCAAGTTTTGTTCGAGATACTGCTTTGGTATCATCGAAGAGCCTTATTGGATAAGGTGCTGCTTCGACCACCCGAAGAATCTCAAGTTTTGTTCGAGATACTGCTTTGGTATCATCGAAGAACCTTATTGGATAAGGTGTTGCTTCGACCACCCGAAGAATCCCAAGTTCTCAGAGATACTGCTTTGGTATCATCGAAGAACCTTATTGGATAAGGTACTGCTTCGACCACCCGAAGAATCTCAAGTTTTGTTCGAGATACTGCTTTGGTATCATCGAAGAACCTTATGGGATAAGGGACTGCTTCGACCACCCGAAGAATCTCAAGTTTTGTTCGAGATACTGCTTTGGTATCATCGAAGAGCCTTATTGGATAAGGTACTGCTTCGACCACCCAAAGAATCTCAAGTTTGGTTCGAGATACTGCTTTGGTTTCATCGAAGAGCCTTATTGGATAAGGTACTACTTCAACCACCCGAAGAATCCCAAGTTCTCAGAGATACTGCTCTGGTATCACGAAGAACCTTACTGGATAAGGGACATCTTCAACCACCCAGAGAAGGTCATATTATCCTGTTCAGCTTTCGCATCCTGCTACCCCGTTCTAGTATGTCTCACTGCAGTTTACTTGTTTACCGGACAAATTTTGGGGTCCTCTTGTATCTAATTGACTTCCACCTTAAAATGAATGCCATGCAGCAGTTCATTCCCTCAGGTTTAAGGAAATTAGATAGGGGCATCTGTCATACCTCAAATTTGTCCTACTTCGGCATTTAAAGAATTTTGCTGCTTCACGACTTCTGGCCATGACTCTCTAAGGCTTCGTTTATAAAGACCATGTGTGTGTACAAATTATGGTTATAATCTCTTGCCATTTATGATGAAGAGTGTACCTCCATCCCCTTATACTCAAATTCATGTGTGTCCTCGTTCTCACGATCAGACATATATGATATAGTCAATGGCATCAAATACATCGTTTAAGCTTTACTACAAATTATGATATGCACTTGATTCAAGCTGTTCAAAGATATATCACATGATACTTCTAGACACGATCGATTTAGCCTCAAGATGTGTTCAAATTGATTGCAAGTGTCTAGTTTTGTTTGTATCTTAAATCAGTTTGTGACAAACTTAGATTTAACCTGCAAAATTTCAAGTCATTCCCAGGGTCTCTTTTAACCAAATCAAGACCAAGACTTTTGGATCAAGATAAACTTTGTCTTATTTTTCCCCTGAGAGTTATATGATTTGGTCTGGTCTTATCAAGACACGGCTAAACATCAATTCGCGTGTGAACACAAGTTGTTTGTAGAGTTTTGGGTACCGTGGAGCCAAGTTATGATAAGATAACAACCCATAAAAAAAAAGAGTTCCTTTCAAGATATGGCCAAATTACTACAAGCCGTATGAGTCTATTTGTGTCCATTTCACAAACAATGTTAATATTACAAATATTAATTTCAATTCAACCATCATCAGTACAACAGGATTATCGCCAATACTTTCACTATCATCAAATATTCAAAATTACAAGGATGCATCTACCAGTTGTAAGACTTAAATTCCTAAGAAGCCAAACTCATGACACAAAGAACACGCCACTCTAAATAGGTGTGGATTGTGAGTTCACAAAAAAGTTTATGGCATTACAAAATATTACATAGCTTGTAATCAAAGGATTGAAAAAGGGAGATTCACAATAAGCTAGTCTACGAAGATTTGAACGTGCAAGGAAGCTTTAAACTCCAAATTCTGCAGAGTCCCATTCTTCCTCGTTTTGAGTTCATCTTTCTAAAGCTCTTCGTGAATACAAGGTTTACAGCTCGAACCTTTGGTCCTCACTTCAAGTGTCATCATTCTCATGCCAAAAATTCAAGATAAAATGGGAGTTAGGAATAAGTAATAGTAAAGGAACATTTTACAGCAAGAATATCAAATTCGCAAACAAGTTAAAGTGAAGACAAAGTTCAGTACAGATTCACCAAGTTCAATAATAAAAGCTCACAAACAGGTTGTTCAATACGTACCACCTCTGCAGCTTGGCCCTGGACATGCTATGGTGCCACCTGTTTATCCATATCCGGATCCCTACTACAGAAGCATGTTTGCTCCCTATGATGCACAAGCTTATCCGCCACAGCACTACGGTGGACATCCAATGGCCAATCTTCAGCTGATGGAAATTCAGCATGCAGGTGTTCCTTCGCCAACTGACGCAGTCAAGGAACCTGTGTTTGTCAATGCAAAACAGTATCATGGTATTTTAAGACGCAGGCAGTCTCGTGCTAAAGCTGAATCAGAAAAGAAAGTTACGAGGAAGCGGAAGCCATACTTGCACGAATCGCGACACTTGCACGCGCTGAAAAGAGCAAGAGGATGCGGAGGTCGGTTCCTGAATTCAAAGAAACACGAGAATCAATCATAAAACGGGCATTAGAGAGAGCCGATATCTCTGATTATTCACATAGACAAGATTCTCATTAAAGACGTTGTACATTCTCATACCATTTGAGGAGAAAAGGAGAAAATTACTTTCAACACTATCAATCGAAATATGCACAACCATCAATATCATTTTCTCCCTTGTGAAACCAATCAAGTGGAGTGATATTTTTCACAAGAGAGAGTTTCTATCTCGACATATCTTTGGTCCAAGGTTCTTGCCAACTTATTTGTGATTGGTGGCAGCATCTTGGCAAGAGCGGTTGTTAGAGTGTATCGTCTAACATTTCAAGTTTTATTTACAAGAGAATCCACCATGGAACCAACTTGTGCTGCTTGCGCCATGGAATGGAGCATCCAACTTGAGAAGGGTCTTCGTTCTGGTAAACCAGGTGTACGTGTCAAAGCCATATTGCAAATGGGGCCCCACCTTCAGCGTTGGAGTAGAGAGCTTGAGTCTGGTATTGTTCCCAATGGAATGTTTGACCTTGTTCCAGGTGAAGGTGAGCTATTTGCTAATACTATCCTCTTATGCCTTGCTGATGCCTTTAGGGGAGGCAACACAGAAATCAGGCTTTCTGTTGTCAGAGTTTTCTTGATCGAGCGAAAGCACCATGATAACAGGAAGCACAAACAGTGTAACGGGTTGCTGTCGATGGCCAGAGTAGCTAACCACTTGGAGTTGCTGAAGCGGGTAAAATCTGTTTTCAACAGTGGAAATTCAGAGTCCAAGACACTGGCTCTAGTTCTGTTTGGTTGCTGGGCTGATTTTGCCAATGACAATGCTCAGATACGATACTTGATACTTTCCAGCCTTGTTTCTCCTCATGATTGTGAGCATCCTTAACTATAAAATTGGCTGCAGCAAGAATTTTTGCAAAATTCAAGTGCTCGTATTCAGTGGCAAAGAAAGCATATAAGATAGGTTTGGAGCTAATATCAAATTCTTCAAATGAAGATATTCTTTTTATCATGATATTCTCACTTTCAAAGTTGGCATCCATTTCTACACTTCTTACCTCCAATCATGTGGAGTTCCTTGTTTCATTCCTTGAACGACAATCAACTTCCCATGTCCGAGAAACGGTTTTAAGATGATTACATTTTTTATTCAGAAACAATCCATCTCTAAAGCTCTACAGCAATACATCCTTTGAAGTTCCAGATGGACAATCCATGGAACTCTCTCCATCCTCATATGTACAAGCGAATATGGCGAATGCCGGTTCCTCTGGTCAAGTTCAGGGTAAATAATTTTCCAACCCTTCTAGCAACCGACTGTTGCCAGATCATCAGCATTCTCAACATCATGATCCTCAAAATTTCCAACATAGCCAGCAGGCAATGCAACAGTTCTCTTCTCTGAATACACAGCAGCAGCAACATTATCAATCGATGCGGGGAGGAATAGGTGGAATGGGACCAGTGAAGTTAGAGCCCCAAGTAAACAACGACCAACTTGGACAACAACAACTGCAATCAATGAGGAATCTTCCTCCAATGAAATTGGAACAACTACAAATTCAAACAATGAGATCTCTGGCACCAGTTAAAATGGAGCCCCAACATTGTGATCAACCTTCGTTTTTGCAACAACAATAATTCCTCCAAATGTCGAGATAATCTTCTCAGGCAGCTGCTGCTCAGATCAATCTTTTGAACCATCACAGGCTTTTACAGTTTCAACAACTCCAGCAATTGATCTGGCAGCAGAAGGATTCTCTCCAGCAATAATAGTCAAGTTGGTAATTATCGGTTTCAAACTGAAAGTAAGCTCAACCAAAACCGCCCCTTACCGTCAGAGACTAACCAAAGCATAACCCATACACAAAAGGGGGGAACCTCATATGAAGAAAAAGACTCTGCATAAAAGAGACCTGGAATTGAAACGGTTGGGGAGGAGGTTCCACACCTTTCTTTTTCTTCCTATTCTTGAACGTCTCTTCTTCAAAATGACCAACTTTCTTCTTCATTTTCAAAACTATCAAAACCTCTTCTTCAAACTTTTACCACCTGCACCAACCTTGTCGAATCCACAATGAACAAACATTACCAAAGCTAGCTTCCACCACCCCCGAAAATCTGCTCATGTATCACCAACAACAACTGTGCGTGACAGAACCGTGTCTCCTTCAATCATGTTCACAACATCACTATCTTCTTCATTTCGTTTTCAACACATACAAAAATCTTCATCCACCCTCCAACTGTAACCTTCATACATAACCTTCACATGGACCTTTCCTAGCAATAATAGCAACCCAACAACATGTTCTACCTGTTCCAAACCTTCAAACCAACATTCCTCCTCAACCTTTCCTCACCTTGTCATCCTTGTTCATCATGAACACCCCTTGCTCACGCCTTACAGCCAACTTCATTTCCTTCCTTTACCTTTATTTAACACAATCCATAAACAACAACCTTTTCATTATATCAATAATCACACCTGTAATTCTCCAACAATAGCGATATTGAGTTGATTTTCAGCTACAGCTCGAACCAACAACAACAACTGAATTCCTATAAGTCATCATCATATGCTAGCTCACAATTTCAGAACATCAATGACGATAATCCAAGGTAGCAGCATGACAATTCTCACCACCTTGCTCACTCACCATCAGAACATGAGATATGAGTATACCCTACAACAACCAAATGAATATCAGGAGTTCTTGACAGTAAATAATCATACTACTGCACAGTAAAATTTACAAGAGTTTATGGTGAAAAAAGGAGTAAAATGGTGTCTCTTGCAGTGAAAAATTAGGGTAAAATTTTCCTACTGAGACTCAAGCAAACATTGCCGGAAATAGCTAAACAAACAAAGAATGACAAGAAAGTATTCTGATTTTTTTTCCACCCAAAAGTTTACACAGCTTACAAGAGAAACCCTAACCCTAATTTCACCCATATAAAAGGCAGCTTACTGTTCATCTCAAGGGAGAGGCAGCCGAGCAAAGAAAAACCTAAACACAACTCTGTTGAAATCAATCCTAGTTCATTATTCATAAAAGCTCAAAATTCCTAAGAGTAACACAGGTTCAATATAAGAATTTGAGTTTACTCTGAGCTGGACCAAGTCACGCAAGTTTTCGAAGGGAGGAAAAGAGGAACAGGGTCTCGAAGCAGCTAGGAAATCACTCACCGTTGCCATCGAAGCGACTAGGTTGGTAAGATATTCCTCGCTTCTAGATGATTCTTGTTGGTTGATGTCCTTACGCCATTTCGATGCATCACTGTTACACCGCCATGTTTTGTTGCATATTATATATACATTCTTGGAGTTGATTGTTGATCTAAGGCCATTAGAATAGCTGATTCACGACTTGCTAGCGTCTTTAGGGATTTGGGGGTAAGGGTTTCTGATTGTGAGTTGGGGTTTAGTTTGAATTCTCGTTCGCCGATGTGTGCTCTGATACCTTGTTGTCTCAATGAGTGATTCAACGTCGTAACCTGTTTGTGGTTTCGATGAAGTGCTATGAATCTGGGGATTTGTGGTTTAGTCTGGGGTATGGTCGGAAAGGGAGAGATGGATAACGTGAGAAGGGAATGAAGAGGAGAGGGTGATTCATCACCGGTTGAAGGTTCCGACCCTCCCTACGCGTGCTAAGGTTGATTTCGGGTTAGGGCCAAGCCTGGCCCATCTTAGTTACGCCTTGTGCAGATTTAGGGATGATTAGGATTTCAGCATATTTTGTTTTTTTTTAGTTGTTTTAACATTAATTAAATAATTTAGGGTAATTACAATTTTTATCTATAGATTATAACTATTAATTTCTTACATAATTGCTAGTTAATATTTAATCTTGTATTAATCGGACAATTTAAGTATGTAAAAGAATCAAAATATTTTACTTAATCCAATTTAAATTTCTTTTTTTTTTTAAAAAAAAAAGGGGGAGTTTTTAAAAAAACATTTTATATATTAATTAAAAATCATAAATAATTTTTTTTAAGACCTTTCTTATTTAAATAATGGAAGTGTTGGATTTTTGGAGTCTAGCACTCCTTGAATCCTTAAGCGACCACTCTCGAGGTGCACACCTTGAGTTGTGGTCGCTTCGTATTTCCTTCTTAAAATGCCCAACCTCGTTTAAACCTTTCAAAATTCGCAAACCCTAATTCGAGCGGTATGCTCACCTTAATTTAACCTACCCACGCTAATATTCCTAAATCATTTTTTTTAAATTACGAAAGTGTCGAGTTCTCGGAGTCATGCATTCTTTGAATTCGAGAGTGACGGCTATTAAGGTGTACGCCTCGGTTGGAGTGTCATTCAAACTTTCGTTCCTAAAACACATCCCATAATTACTTGGACAAGTACTTTCACTGTCCAACAAACATATTTTGTAATTAATGGAGTGAAAAGATGTCGTTGGGATCTAGCATTCCAATAAACATCCCAACTAATTGGTTACGAGGCCGACGTCTTGTTTATCGAATAGTTGTCATTCCTCCCAAATTTTTAACCCGTCTAACCTCGTTTCTCACCCTCGTGTGATTGAATCTAAATCTCTTTCAATTCAAACTCTTTCGCGTCTAAACTATCCATCAGACGTAATTGAATGAAAAAGGTATCGTTGGGACCTAGCATTCCAATGATGTCCCGATTGATTTGATTACGAGGCCGACGTCTCGTTTATCGAATAGTCCTCATTCCTCCTAAATTTTCAAACCATCTAATCTCGTCCCTCATCTTCGTGCGACCGAGTCTAAACCCTAGTATGTCTCTAAACCATACATAAAATTCAAATTATTTTCTTAACTAAGTTGTGAAAGAATTGAGTTCTTGGAGTCTCGCACTCTTTGAATTTTTGAGTAACTACTCTTAGGGCGTACGCTTTAGGTTGTGGTTCGCTCGACCTTTCGTTTATAAAACACGTGCCCTAATTATTTGGACACATATCGTCATTGTCCATTCAAATACATTTTCATAATTAATTGAATGAAAAAGGTATCATTGGGATCTATCATTCTAATGATATCCCGATTAATCGATTGCGAGACTGATGTCTCGTTTATCGAGTAGTCGTCATTCTCCCTTAAAATATCCAACTCCCTTCTCTCGCCCTCGTGCGATTGAAATTTTCTCAAACATATTTCGTAATTATTCGAATGAAAAAGGTGTCGTTGGAATCTAGCATTCCAATAATGCCCGATTAATTGATTGCGAGGTTGACGTCTCGTTTATCGAATAGTCGTCATTCTCTATCAAATTACCTAACCAAACTCCTCTTTCTTGCCCCCGTGCAATCAAAACCTTAAACCTATTTAAATATATCCTCTAACCAAAACGTCCAATATGATAAACCTAATCCCTCGCCCTTGCGCGATCCCTACAACTCAAACAACTCTCCTCAAAGAACATTGTTTAGTCCCTTCTTCCGCGCATAACAAACTCGTGCTTCAGCCTCCCCTAGCGAGCAGACAAGCCAACGTTTAGCAGTTAGAACACGACATAAACACTCGTTCATTCACAAACCTTTTACCGTAGTTAGCCGAACTACGGCTGCTCTGATTCTTCATTCCCTCTTGAATGTAAGATACGTAGGCACAAGATTGCGATGATCTTGGCAAGCACATTCCCCTCTTTTCCCGTAGTCCCATGAACTACGAATGCTCTGATTTTCCACTTCTTACAAGTGAAGATACGTAGGCACAAGGGCCCCAATCCTTGGCGAGCACCATATCCTATAACCATCCATTCCCCCCATAGGAGAAACCTTAGAAGAAAACAAACAAGCATAGTTAACTTTACTCTCGAATCGATCAAGAGGTTCCCGTTGAGTACAACGGACGTAGAGGGTGCTAATACCTTCCCTCTGCGTAATCGACTCCCGA